GTGCTAGTTGAGAGAAAGTGGGGTAGCCAGGAAGAAAAGTGTTCAATGAATAGCCTAGGTTGACCAGCAGGGGCGATAGATGATGGCAATTCTTAAAGGAGTAGGCTTAAATATGCATACCATGTGAACTTCAAAGAAAGTAAAGGATACGGCGGGGGCAGAAGAAGGATGCCTACACCGCCGCCTTTACAGTTGAGTCTGGGAGTGTGGGAGAATTGTAGCCGATGAAACATAAAAAAGCCGCAGTATCAGAGGGGGATAGCCAGGTCTCAGTGAGTACTAGTAGTATGAGGGAATTAGAGATGAAGAGGTCGTGTATGGCTGTTGATTTAATATTTCCAGAGTGTTGGTAGAGGAGGATAAACAGCAGGGTATTAGGATGAGGTTTGTGTGGTTTCTAGTTGTTTTAGTGTGAGCAGACGAGGTGAAGGGCCCTGGGTTGGGAGAGACGTCACAGCTGCTAGAAGTGGAGGTTTTATATGGACGGGGTCTAGGATGAGATTGAGTGGGAGCAGGAGAGAAAGAATAGAGAAATTAGTGCAGGACATGAGATGAGAGAAGGGGAAGTGTAGCAGAGATGGATTAAGGTGGATGTGATTGAGTTGTTGAGGGAAGTGGGGGAACTGTTCTGGTTTCCAGCAGTGAACTTTTAACTCAGACTGTGGAAGACAGAGATGATAAGGGCTGCAATAAAGCTACAGAATGGAAAAGCACAGAAGAGGTGAGGATTGGTCAACCAAAACATTTGGGTGGGATTCAATAAAATAAGGGGGGCGGGGGGATTGCAGAAATAACAGAGAAAGTCTTTAGAGATAAGCAGATAGGTGAATAACATTTAGGTTAACAAGTCAACAATGTTGAGTGGGGCTGGGAACAACTAGCTTTAGCATGCAGGGCAAGTAAAATATATATGTTTAAATAAAAAAGTACACCTACACACCCACAACTGTAAATACATGTATGGTATGTAGATGAAAACAAAACACAAATAGTAAAAATTTAAAAATAAATAAAAGTGTATATTATTGATGTGTGATATATAGCTATTTGTAGGGAGAGAGGGGATCTCTTCTAAAAGGGTTAACAGATTGGAGCCTATCTATAAATGAGGACATGAGCTTTGGGGTGGAGGGACTGTCCTCCAGAAGGCTACCAGTTGCATATGGCAGTAGTTGTTGCTTGCAAGTCTGGGGCTGGATAGATTTTAAATCAGGCGGAGGGAGAGAGATATATTTGGGTCGGATGGGCCTGCAATAAAACTAAGGAATGGGGAAGATGCATCTGTGGATATTTGTGGTAAGGGTCATTCAAGATAAGACAGAAGTATCCATGTAGAGAAATAAAACTATTAAACAAATAAAAAGAAAGACATATGGGCCTGAGCTGGTTAAACTAACTTTTAACATAATGGACAAGACATAATGGTGATAAAATATGCAATGTGCCAGGGATATGCAAAGTATGACTAGCACAGGCTGTAGTAACAAAGTAATGGAAATATATACATTTAAAATAATAATCACTAAATATAAAAACACACACACAACAGGAATAACAGGTTATGTAAAATATAATGAAATGCTGGTCCTCCAGAAGGCTACCTGTTGCTTATGGCAGTAGAACAGCTGATGGAGCTCTGTGTTGCTTGCACATCTGGGGGTGAATAGATTTTAAATCAGGCTGTTGCATATGGCAGTAGAACAGCTAATGGAGCTGTGTTGCTTGCACGTCTGGGGCTGAATCGATTTTAAATCAGGCTGTTGCATACAGCAGTAAAACAGCTGATAGATCTCTGTTTGCTTGCAATTTTATTATCATATATTTTAATTAGCTAAATTGTATAAATTAGATCAGCTGTAAAATGATAAGACAAAAATTAGCACAAAAATACAAAATACCTAGAAATAGAAAGTTTTTTGAAACCCACAACACCAGTTGAAGAAGTATAAATATCTCTGACATTTGGAAAGCCGTTTCCATTTGCTTCAGAATATTGCCTGCTGTGCACTGTTCCCATTTGCACAAACTAAAGTATCCTATCCTGATGACAAAACTAAGATGGTATCTAAACATTGATGAGGATCCTCTTGACTTTTACAAATATTGATTATGTTCACTGAAAAGCATCACACCATTCCAAGCACCTTTTCTGAGGAAAATAAAAAAGGATATTGTTAATTGAGTTTTGGTGCATTTGAATTTCTTGTTTAACCTCAACCCCCTGAACCTATGCAAGCATCATCTAGACTTTATTTAATAAAAGCAAGATTTAAAAATCCCATACTCTAGTACTCTAGAAATTGTTATGGGATTTTAAGTGTTTCACCAAAATGAACAAACAACTGAATTTCTTTTAGCAGCCAAGAAAGGAAAGAACTGAAGGAAATACTGAATTATATATAATCCAAATGTTGACTTACATCACATATGCACACATGGAAAATACAATACTCACTGATGCTCTGTAACTCTTACCTCACTGGATACATCAACTAGTTAATATTTAACATTTTCCAACAGTCATTAATATGTAAAGACTCAAGAGATAGAGAGCTGAGGACTGTATTAGACACAAAGGGGGTACAACCAAACCGCCTTACAGTGCCTTATTGAGAATGTCCAGTGCATGAATACTGTGGAAGAGATCAGAGGTGAATGTGTGTGTTTTTGTGCTATCTGTGTGTATATTATGTATTATCTGTGTGCTCTAGCTCTGTATATGTGTGTCAGTGTATGAATTTGCATGTGCATGTTGTAACGGATCACCTGGCACCCCGACTGGGTACCTCCGTTGACTGATGCTCCTAGTGCTTCTTGAGGATTCCAAGCACTCTAGCCAACACCAAAACCACCACAGGCCGAACCTCTCTTCCTTCAGAGTGAAGCAGGAACGAGCTCTTAAAAGAGCTTAGGAGTGATTATAGCAAGGGAATATGCAGAGCATAGCAATCCCTTGTAGCAGATTCCCCCAATAAGAGACAGTACTCCAAATTGAGGGTGAAGTAGAACTGTCTAAAACTTTATTTTACTTGGGACTAGCCCATATGGTCATTACATTAATATTGCTGTGAAAATTCAATAAAATTACAAACAGTCAAATCATAGCAGGCAACATACAGTGAATTATTATAATATAATAACATATTTATAAATGGGTGGGGAAGACCATAATTAACACAAAATGGCTCTCCTGCATGCAGAATTAGCTATATGCAAATCTACCCAAATATGCAAATTACCAGTCTTGCTATTCAGGTAGTGCATATTACTGTTGCTACCAACAGAGGGCACTACACAAGCTCCATAGCCAAATCCACCTAGTTGATAGCAATTCTCAGCAGTACAGGAGAGCAGGCAATACATCCCATGGGCCATAGTCACATAGCAGGAGGCTGGCAATCAGTCTTCTCCAATGCCCAGTGGCAAGGATGGTTCCGCCACATTTCTCCCCTTTTCCAAACAGACTAACAGGATCTGACCTCCTGCCAGTCAGTGCCCTGGTTAGTCCAGCAACCTACCCACGCAGCACAAACAGTAATACAGCCCACCAACAATACATGGTTACTACACCTGGGTAAAAGATTAGCTCGTCCATGTCCAGGTGCCTCACCACGGCTGTGTGGGGTACTGATAGGCTGCCTTGGTGGGTTGCTGAGTACAGAACTCAGCGCTACCACGGGAGCCATACTGAAAAGAAGAGTTGGTAGGCTCCTCTCTCGGGATCTGGGGCTGCTGCTGGAGGGGGAGACCGACTGTCTCCCCTTTGGTTACATAGTCCTACTGCTGGAGGGGGAGACTGACTGTCTCCCCTTTGGACACACAGCCCTGCTGCTGGAGGGGGAGACCGACTGTCTCCCCTTTGGCTAAACAGCCCTGCTGATGGGGGACAGGACTGACTGTCCCTACCCCTGCAGGTGCACTTGCAGAGACCACGGTCCCATCTGCACTGTTGTGGAGCTTACTGTCTCCCCTTGGTGGGCTAAACTTCCGCTGGGGAGAGGGGGTAACAAGCTCATCTCCCATACATACTTTCAGCCGCTGGGGAGAGGGGATAACAAGCTCCTCTCCCTGGCACTCTCTCTGCTGTTGGAGAGGGGGACCGACTGTCTCCCCTTTCAATATATTGTCATGCTGCTGGGGAGCGAGACCGACTGTCCCTGCTCCCTGCCAGAAACACTGCTGCTGGGGAGGAAGGATGGCACCTTCGGTTCCCTGGGACTTGCTTGACTGCTGGGGAGAGGGACCAACTGTCTCCTCTCCTAAGGACACACACTGCCGCTGGGGAGGAAGGACGGTACCTTCAGCTCCCTGGGACTCACTGGAATGCTGGGGAGAGGGATCAACTGTCTCCTCTCCTAAGGACATACACTGCCGCTGGGTAGGAAGGATGACACCTTCAGCTCCCTGTAACACACACTGCCACTGGGGAGGAAGAACTGCACCTTCGGCTCCCTGGGACTAACTGGATTGCTGGGGAGAGGGACCAACTGTCTCCTCTCCTAAGGACACACACTGCCGCTGGGGAGGAAGGAGGGCACCTTCAGCTCCCTGGGAAACATACTGCCGCTGGGGGGGAAGGACGGCACCTTCGTCTCCCTGTAACTCACTGGACTGCTGGGGAGAGGGACCAACTGTCTCTTCTCCTAAGGACACACACTGCCGCTGGGGAGGAAGGACGGCACCTTCAGGTCCCTAGGATACATACTGCCACTGGGGATCTGGGCAGACTGCCCAGCATCCCTGTAGGGCTGGTAGAGAGACCTCGGTCTCATCTCCACCTGCCAGCTGGGTGTCTTCCCAGGACAAGTCAATAAGGTCTTCCATCTCTGGGGCTGGTTGGGACGTATGTGGTACAGTACCAAGGTCCCCTGATAACAGGCTTGGTTGCTGGGGAGGAGGAACTAAACTCAATGCTTCCGGTGGTATACAGTCAATAAGCCCCATCATGTCAGAGACAGGCGGTGCTATACAGGCAAACATAATCCTGTTCTAGTTCTCACTCCCGGTTGGCAAGAAAAGATAGATCTGGCTGAATGGCATCGATCTCCGTAAGGTCCCAGTTGTCTGCCCGCTCAGCTCGGATGGACCAGAAGCGAGCAATGTCGGTGTCTCCGAACCAGAGACTAGTTTCAATAGTATCCCACAACAAACCAGAGCCATCGTAGTCTTCCCCCTCAATACACTTGTACTCGATCAGCCATGGGTAGAGGTGGTAAGCATGCCACCGCAGGGCCCGATAGGAATCATTCAGCCACACCTCAGTCTCAACTAGCGTCTCCAGTTCGCTTACCCATTTCTCTGAGGGCTGGTTTCCCAATAACGGTATCCGCAGCTCTAGTTGTTCTGCATGGTGCTGGTTAGTGGTCAGGATTTCCTCGCACCGGAAGGGTCGAATTTTGTCGGTCCTCCTTCCAGAGATTGGTACGAAGCGCCACCCTCCACTCTGTCTCTCTTTCCTCTGGGATAGGATACTCCATACTGCGCATCACATCCTGTAGTCACTGCTGGAGCCTGGCGTCAAAGTGAGATACTGCACGGCCTTCCATCTCTGAAGTAGTGCTGGTTTTCCCAAGACTAGGAAGCCTTCCCACCACTGCTTTAATGTAATGGATCACCTGGCACCCCGCCTGGATACCTCCGTTGATGGATGCTCCTAGCACTTCTTGAGGATTCCAAGCACTCTAGCTGACACCACAACCACCACAGGCCTAACCTCTCTTCCTTCAGAGCGAAGCAGGAACAAGCTCTTAAAAGAGCTTAGGAGTGATTATAGCAAGGGAATATGCAGAGCAGAGCAATCCTTTGTAGCAGATTCCCCCAATAAGAGACAAGACTCCAAATTGAGGATGAAGTAGAACTGTCTAAAACTTTATTTTACTTGGGACTAGCCCATATGGTCATTACATTAACATTGCTGTGAAAACTCAATAAAATCATAGCAGGCAACATACAGTGACTTATTATAACATATTTACATATTTATAAATGGGTGGGGAAGACCATAATTAACACAAAATGTCTCTCCTGCATGCAGAATTAGCGATATGCAAATCTACCCAAATATGCAAATTACCAGTCTTGCTATTCAGGTAGTGCATATTACCGTTGCTACCAACTAGGTGGATTTGGCTATGGAGCACAAGCTCCATAGCCAAATCCACCTAGTTGGTAGCAATCCTCAGCAGTACAGGAGAGCAGGCAATACATCCCATTGGCCATAGTCACATGGCAGGAGGCTGGCAATCAGTCTTCTCCAATGCCCAGTGGCGAGGCTGGGTCCGCCACACGTGTCAGTATGTGTGTTTCAATGTGCATGTGCATACATCCCAGTACTCAACACATTCAAACACATTCAAACACATACAATAAAAACAAGTACATCACTGCTTTCATATAAACATAAAAATGCATTAAATTGCGAGGCTGGGTCCGCCACACGTGTCAGTATGTATGTTTCAATGTGCATGTGCATACATCCCAGTACTCAACACATTCAAACACATTCAAACACATACAATAAAAACAAGTACATTACTGCTTTCATATAAACATACAAATGCATTAAATTGCCAAAAGTATACAAAAATACATACATTCAAACACACAAAACGTTCTTACATACAAAAACAAACACTGCTCCCAAAAATAGCTCTGTAAGAAAGGGCACATGGTGGATCCCGTGCTGGTAAAGCATTATGGGAGTTGTTCAACAAATGGGGATCTACCTTTTGGCCATGTTTGCACTAGAGGGGGCCCCCCAAAAAAGTTTTGCACCAGAGCCCTCTCTACATTAGTTTCGCTTCTGAAAGAAATTGTCCTTGTTCAGCCCCAGTTATTAAATAGAATGTATCAGGCAGCCTGAGCATCTCCTGGCACTACTGAAGCAGGCAAGGGGGAAATGGCCATATGGAGGACATTGAAACTCCTTACTATAATACGTATTTGATTATTTATTTTGACATTCCATGGAAATGGATATTTCTTGGCAAGTTAATAGCTACACAGTCAAGTACTTCTTCAACCCCTATCTCTCTGGCATTGGTTGCGTGTTATAGGGAATAGTGTTTGCAAATTCTACCCTATTAATTATTTATAACCCCCGTGCTATTTGGTCGATTTGTTGGCTTCCAGGCATTATGCCATTAAAATCTGGTATTTGACAAAGATGTAAACCTCATGTTATTTATAAGATTCCAAGAACAAATCCAGTGGCTATATGATTTTCACTGGATTTAACATGTCAGTACTGCATTCAGACTTTAGTGAATAAACCTATGTAAGTCATAGAAACATAGAAACATAGAATGTGACGGCAGATAAGAACCATTCGGCCCATCTAGTCTGCCCAATTTTCTAAATACTTTCATTAGTCCCTAGCCTTATCTTATAGTTAGGATAGCCTTATGCCTATCCCACGCATGCTTAAACTCCTTTAAGTCAAAGTGTGTCTGAATGCAGATTACATGGTTTGGATTGAAGCAACTAATGTGGAACTCATTTTATCTCACACTTGCACTAAATTCTCATAGGCAGTCTCATCTTTACATTGGATCAATTTTTTTTTAAAGATGTGTTGTATTTGTTACAGTAGTGTAGAATATGGTTGAATGTCATAATGTATACAATATTAATGCTAAAAACATGTATTTCAGTTTACTAAACTGAAGTTATATAGCTGGTACTGAGCATAGTCTTCAACCCCGGTGACCAAATTATTCTTGCATTAAATGATTTATATCAAGTGCAGGGTTCACTCCTTACTATTGATAACAAGAACAAAAAAATGTGAATCTGATGATAATATATCTTTCCTTTCCTTTTTATTTTACATTTATGATATATTTAAATCAGACCTCACAAATCCCAATTAATACTATAAATCAAAGTCTTATGTCATAGCAGGGAAATAATGCCCAAAGTACAATAAATTAATTATCAAGTTTTCTGAAAATAAATGTTAAATGTTTTAGTAGTAAAAATATTAAATCAACATGCTGTGTCTAAAACGTGCAGCTGACCACCAAGGTTGATATACAAAGGTATTTGTGAACATAGAAACAGACTATAAAGAGATGAACTAAGAGAATAAATAAGAAAGTAAATTGCTTCTACACTGCTGTAATGCCATCAAGTAGGCTTTGTACAACTGCAATTAGCTTACCCTTAATTGGAAACATCAATCTTTCTTATTATTATTTCCTAATGTCATAGTCTTTTCTATTTGGATCTTAGGCTTTTATGGCAAGGTTTCTCAAGAACTTTAAGTGCTCTTTATTTGTGATGACATTAGAGAAAACACTTTTTAAAATACTCCAGTATGAAAATCATTATTTACTGCTTGCTGCTTAACATCGATGCCATAGTTAAATCCACAGAATCCTGAAGTTATTTAACATCTGCTGACGCACTTGTAGGCTTGGCGAACTCACACTTGCAGCATTAGGCTATGATATTCACTGTGAATATATATATACTCCAACAGTCCAGGATGTATGTATTTCCCTGTTTTATTCTAATAGAGATACTGACAAAACCTGGACTGTTAATGGGTCTTGAGGATTGGTTTGGGAAACATTGTATTAATTTATACACTTAAAGGAACATTATAGTCACCTAAATTACTTTAGCTAAATAAAGCAGTTTTAGTGTATAGATCATTCCCCTGCAATTTCACTGCTCAATTCACTGTCATTTAGGAGTTAAATCACTTTGTTTCTGTTTATGCAGCCCTAGCCACACCTCCCCTGGCTATGATTGACAGAGCCTGCATGAAAAATAAAATGGTTTTACTTTCAAAAAGATTTAATTTACCTTAAATAATTGTATCTCAATCTCTAAATTGAACTTTAATCACATACAAGAGGCACTTGCAGGGTCTAGCAAGCTATTATCATAGCAGGGGATAAAAAAAATCTTAATTAAACAGAACTTGCAATAAAGAAAGCCTAAATAGGGCTCTCTTTACAGGAAGTGTTTATGGAAGGCTGTGCAAGTCACATGCAGGGAGGTGTGACTAGGGTTCATAAGCAAAGGGATTTAACTCCTAAATGGCAGAGAATTGAGCAGTGAGGCTGCAGGGGCATGATCTATACACCAAAAATGCTTCATTAAGCTAGAGTTGTTCAGGTGACTATAGTGTCCCTTTAATTAATAAATTCAAAGCATGCTAATGTGACCTCCAAAGTAAACCTAAAAGTAAATATGTTTTGTGGCAGGGACATTAAATGTACTGTTTGTTGAAGGGAACAAGATTGTAAAAAGAAAACTTTGATGCAATGACTAAGGAGAGGTATAGAATGGATATCGTGGTTGTCAATGGACATGGTTTTGGTAGTAGGGGGTCTTGAGCAGAGTATTAGATTGCATGGCATGAGTGGCTGAGGAGAAAGCAATGGTTATGGAGGAAGAATATTAGATTGGAGGTATAACATTAGATGTGATGTATAGCCTTTCTTTAAGGATGCTGTATATTTTTAAATTCTAATGAGTCAGAGGTATATTCATTAAACAGTGAGAATGAATTTGCAATATATAATTCTAAATTGCTCACTTAAACATTATCTGAATATGTAGGTGTAGCTGCATGATTTTGACCTATTTTATACAATTGTTTTATCAATGTATCACCAATTATGTTGTAAGATACATTTTAAAGTATTGTGGCATGAATGTATTTTCCATTACTGTGTATGAATTTCAATGCACAGGTGTATCTGTAAACGCATAATAATAAATTGCCAGGATCATAGAAAATGTTGAAATTGTTGGTTGAAATTTCTGCTGAGGATGAATGTTCTAAACATAAATGGGAAGATTCTGCAGACTTGTTTAACCCCTTCCCGACCGTGGACGGAAATTTTCCGTCAACCTTGTCCTTCAGTTAAGGACCGTTGACGGAAAATTTCCGTCATTTTCTTAAGTTAACCCCAGATCGCCGCGATCGCGGCAATCGCGGGGTTAGCGGTGCTCCGGTCTGCCTCTGCATTAGAGGCAGACCGGGAGCACCCGATCGGGCTGCCCCAGCACCGGTGCTCGCTCTGACAGCATGTCAGAGCGAGCACATGTGCTCCACATACTCACCTTCCGCCTCCCTGCACTTCCGGGTTCTGTGTGAAGTGCAGGGAGACGGATCAGTGCTGATCTGCTTCCCTGTGTAAAAAAAAAAAAAATTAAAGTTAAATCCCACCCCCCATGCCCCTGTTTTAATAAAATTAACCCCTTCCCTGCCAATTGATCACTGACTACAGTGATCAATTGGCAGGGTATACATTTTAATGTCATCTGATTTTTTTTTTTTTAACCCCTGAGGGTTAATTATTTTTTTTTTAACCCTCAGGGGTTAAATTTATTTTATTAATTAATTTAAATATTAAAAAATTATATATTTAGCTAGCTGGGATGGGTGGAAGTTAGTGGGGAATTGGGGAATTTGGTGTTAGGCTAACTAGGGGTTAACGTTAAAAAAAGTTTTAAAATA